ATTCTGGGTCCTTTGCATTTCCCTATAAAATTTACAATAGGTTTTTCAGTTTCTTCAAATCTACATTGATTTAAATTTTCTTCAAATTTTCCAGCCATATTTTATAGTTTCAGTGTACATGTCCTACAAATATTTTATTGCGTTGACCCCTAAGTATGTCATACGTTCCATGCTATTGTAAATTGTCTTTTTTGAATTTTAATTCTTCATTACTATATAGGAATACAACCCATTTTTTAATATCATCCTTGTATCCTATGACTTTGCTAGGCTCAATCATTCTAGTAGTTTGTGTAGAAATCTTAGGATTTTTATACATATACATTATGTTAACTGTAAAAGAGGATACTTTTACTGTTTCCTTCCCAAAATATATACTGTTTTTTGTTTCTTTTTTCCTACCTTGTTGCAGTAGCTAGCACCTCCAGTAAAATGTTGAACACAAGTAGTGAGAATGGGTATTCTTGCCATGTTCCTGATTTTAGGGAGAAATAATTCCATCTTTTACCATTAAATATTGTTATATATTTTTTCATAAATACTTCATTAAGAAGTTCCTTCCTGTATTTAGTCTGCTGAGAATTTTTGAACAGGCGACTTTAAATCTTAGTGCAATCTTAAATTCATGAGATGAACCACACTTGGGGAGGATGTTATCTTTTTTGCACATTGCTAGAATTGATCTTCTAATATTCTCTTAAGGAATTTTGTGTCTTTGTTCATGATAGCTAATGAACAAATTTAAAAAATTTTGTTTCAAAATTAAAAAATTTTATTCTATTTGTTGGCTGAGAGTTGGGGGTAGGATAACGTCTTTCAATATTTTTATTTCTCTATTGCATGCAGGATCCTAAATCCTAAATTTCCCTGTTTTTTTCCTTCACCATTCAATCTCCAGAGTGACCACATTTTCATACTCAAGAAGCAGTAACTTCTGAGATTGCTACATCAACTTTTACAGAAAGTCCAGTTTTTTGTATACAGTATTCTGATCCACTGAAATTCTTTTTCAGTATTTTTGCACTTTGGATGAGCTTTCTCTTTCCGAGAGTCTTTTTTTTTTTTTTTAAAGATTTTATTTATTTATTTGACAGAGAGATAGAGAGCACAAGAAGGCAGAGCGGCAGGCAGAGGCAGAGGGAGAAGCAGACTCCCTGCCGAGCAGGGAGCCCGACGTGGGACTCGATCCCAGGACCCTGGGACCTGAGCCGAAGGCAGACCCTTAACCGACTGAACCACCCAGGCGCCTTTTCCAGGAGTCTTGTTTTTAGCCCAATCCTAGGTCCTCTAATTACCTACTCTCTCTCAATTTTTCTGGACTCTTTGTTCTCCACAAAGGATTACTGTAGAGACTTAAGAGATGACTCTGCTGAAATTTTTTTTTAAATTTCTATTTTTAAGGAACTTGAAGTTTGTAGTGCTGCCTTCTAGTATCTTTAAGTCATGGGCTTTTTGAGGTTTTATTTGTTCTTGTTTAACTGTATGGTTTCTTGGAGAGCATGTGGAGAGATTTGGATTTTGGATACCTATCATTATCTTAGGCACTCTGTAATCCAGATTCATCCATTTGGGTCTGCTTTATTATTCATCCGTTAATTTTCTACTTTCCAAAAATTTTTAAAGTTTATTTTTAAGCAATCTACACCCAACATGGGCCTTGAATTTACAACCCTGAAATCAAGAGTTGCATGCTCCACCAACTGAGCTGGCCAAGTGGCTCCACTTGCCAAAATTTATTGCTTATCTTCTCTATTTTCTTTTCGCCCTTGTTGGCTTATGCGTTTACTATTGTTCTGAGAGAATTTTAATATGGAGCAAAACTAAATACAGTTACTTATATTCAGTCTATCATCCCTAAAGTGTGTAGTCTTTTCAAAGATCTGTGCAAACAGAACCAACTATGGCAAATGTTAAATGGTAAGAGCTTCTTGTAGTTGATCACTATTTTACTTACTTCAGATTCCAAAAACCTAGAAGTAAAATAGTTCATATCATTTATATTTTTTAAAGATTTGAGTGAGAGAGAGGGAGCGAGAGTGGGGGAAGGAGCAGAGGGAGAGTATCCTCAAGCAGACTCCCTGCTGAGTGTGGAGCCTAATGTGGGGCTTGATCTCATGACCCATGAGATCATGACCCTGAACCAAACCAGGAGTTGGATGCTTAACTGACTGAGCCACCCAGGCATCCCAAATAGCTCATATCTTTTAAAATACTCAAAATTAAATTCTGCCTTTTGGATCCTGATAGAACTCAGATTTTCTGGGTTGCCTGGGTGGCTCAGTCAGTTAAGTGTCAGCCTTTGGCTCAGGTCATGATCCCAGGGTCCTGGAATCAATCCCTGCATCAGGAGCCTGGTTCTCCCTCTCCCTCTGCCTGTCGCTTCCTTTGCTTGTGCTCTCTCTGCCAAATAAATAAATAAATAAAATCTTTAAAAAAAACCCTCATTTTCTTTAACAAACACCTTTTCACGCTGGTTAACTTGCTGGCTTACTAGCTAAAAACAAAATGTTTCATAAATGATACACATTCCCATTTCAAATCTCCATTTTACTGCATAAGAACACTAACTGCAAAGTTAAACTAGTTATATCATTTTGTAAGGAAATAATTTGACTCAGGTAACAAAAGAGGAAAGAATGCAAACTGGTATGTACTATTGGCTTTTTGTGTTCATTACAGTGTCAGACTGAATAATGGTACCCAAATATGTCCACACCCTAATCTCTGGAATTTGTGAATGTTATCTTACATGGTAAAATAAAGTCAACTTTGTAGAGGCAATTATGCTAAGAATCTTGAAATGGGGAAGATCAATTTGGATTATCCATGTGAGCTCAATATAATCACAATAGGCCTAATAGGAGGGATGCAGGAGGAGTCAGAAGCAGAGAAGGTGGCAATGAGATGAATGGAAGCAGAGGTTAAGGTGATACACTTTCAAGATGGAGAAAGTGACCATAAACCAAGGGACACAGATGACCATGAGAAGCTGAAAAAGCCAAAGAAACAGATTTTCCCCACAGAGCCTCCAGAAATCAGCCCTGCTGACATTTAGACCTTAGCTCAGTGAAATTGATTTCGAATTTCTGACCTCCAGAATTGTAAGGGGGAATTTATGTCATTTTAAACCACTAAATTTGTTCTAATTTGTTACAGCAGCAACAGGAATGTGGTATAATCGCCTTTTAAATAAAATGACATAAAGGGAGAAGAGGCAAGTTATCTAATGTTGTGATCAATAATATCCATCAGTTAAATACTATTTCATAGTAAAAGTAATTAGATTCAAGGTATCAGCTATTCACTTCAAAGAAACTTACTTTGCCCCTCTTATTAAGATTATTCCTTGCCAAGTATAGAGATTTCTTGTGAAAGATAATCTAAGCACTGAGCTCCTTGAATAGGATTTGTCTCTGTATTTTAAATTGTTTCCATAGCATAATATGTATCACATAGTCCCTTGTTTAATAATTTATAATTTATTATTAACCTTTTAGTACATTTTTATGAAGAACCCCATACTTGTTACCCAACATTTAAACATATGTAGAAATAATCTGGATCCTTATAACCAATATGTCAATTGGCCTTTCATTAAAGTGAAATTAAAATTGTGTTTTACAATGGTATATTTCCTTTTTCTTTTTTTTTTAAAGATTTTATTTATTTATTTGAGAGAGAGAATGAGAGACAGAGAGCACAAGAGGGAAAAGGGTCAGAGGGAGAAGCAGACTCCCTGCTGAGCAGGGAGCCCGATGTGGGACTCGATCCCAGGACTCCAAGATCATGACCTGAGCCGAAGGCAGTCGCTTATCCAACTGAGCCACCCAGGCGCCTCTGGTATATTTCCTTTTTAAAAAAATTTTTGGTTTATGATCTTATGAATCACAACTTACCTAACAACCATCCTGCTACATCTCATCATTCTTCAGATGACTGTCTATGTCTGCTCTGATTAACAATATGCCAGTCTTACAATTTACACTCACAGGGCAATGATCCCTCATTTCCTTGTTCTGATTTTTTTTTTTAAGATTTTATTTATTTGACAGAGAGCACAAGCAGGGCAAGCGGCAGGCAGAGGGAGAGGGAGAAGCAGGTTCCCCACCGAGCAGGGAGCTGGATGGGGGGCTCGATGCCAGGACCCTGGGATCATGACCTGAGCCAAAGGCAGCTGCTTAACCAACTGAGCCACCCAAGCGCCCCAAGAATGAAGGTTGTCTTAAGAAAAAAAACCACTAGAAATTAATATACTGCTTGGTATGGTGTTATGGATGGGTTTCACAAAAGCAAGGCAGTCTTTTTTTTTTTTTTTTTAGCAAGGCAGTCTTAATTAAGCCTTTTACTGACCTGGCTTTGTCCTGTGATTGTGAAATCTCACCAGATGAAATTAATGAGGAAATTTCCAATTCTAGCACTGTCTTCAATAAAAGTGTAGCATCATATATACACGGTATCAGGCTAGAAAAAGGTTAATGTTCATTTCTGCAGTGTTGTTACTCTGGATCTAGACAAAAGTACTTAGAAAGAACCTGGAACAGAGCCTGGATTCTGTTTTATTATGGATTAGGATTTATTAACCTTAACAAACACAGAAGGATTAGGTCAACATTTAGACTGTCAAAAGTTGATGAATAAAAGATTTTAATTATGTGAAAGGAAAGAAAAGTTTAAAAAAAAAAAGCCTAGCTTAATGTATTATTCAATGAATTACAAATGGGTATCTCTGGCTTACGATCATTTCGAGGGGAGAAATGTAACATGTTTCTGAGGTGGCTTTAAAACCAAAGGCTTACTATCTGTTGTTATATAATATGACAAAAACTGGTCAATTAACCTAACATTTATCTTGTACACACAGGGCTGAAGAAGAAATTCTCATACGAAAACAGTGATCAATTTGCTGCTTAACAAAAACTGTATTTAATCTCTTGCTTGCTCAAATAACTTAGCCAAGGCTAAATTCTAATCAGACTATGAAGTGAGAATTACAAATCAACTGAAGAAAGTAACATCATTTTTTTATTTGATTTAAACCCATTTTCATATACAAAGCTAATGTATTATGTACAAAATAAACGTACATTCTTCAAAACTGTTAGAATACAAATTTCCAAAGGACTAAAAAAAGTGCAAAATTCTCAATTATCTTCGATCATGCTATACAGAAACAAATCAAATATTAGCTCATATACACACAGTGAAAAATTTTAAGACACCCAATGTAATAAAACAAAACATACATCTTATATATTTAATCTTAAAAAGATGAGGAAGGAAAGAATGTATTGCACCAAATTAACAGTAACTTCATTATAATGAGAAGACTAATCAAAATTATTTACACATCTTTATTAAATCTAAAATTTTCTCAACTTTAAGACCATTTTTTGGCATACAAATATTCATTGAGTCACAGTTTGCACAGTCAATAATTAGATATAAATAAGACTTAATATTCTCTTTTTCATGTCAATTCCATCAGAATAAATGAGCAGGAACGTTTTATGATAACTACTTTTGAATTCCTTAAATATTTAAGTAGCAGCACAATTTGCAAGTATTTTTTTTAAACAAGTAATTCTGAATTTTCAGCTATCCTCCTCTATGTGTGTTCACATGCATTCAAGTCATTGTCACCCTCTATGATAACACTGAAATGTTCCTATTTAATCTGGGTCCCAGAAAAACTGACATAAGAGACAAATCATGTGTGTTTGATATTTTTCTGTCTTGATGGATTCATTTCTCTAGCAGTGCACCTGATAGAAAATGTCTAGCTAAATCTCTGATTTTTTGCTAAATTTTTTGCTCCAAGTATATAAAAGCAAACAACTGGGGGAAGGAAAACGATACTCCTTAGGAGTTTCTGAAGAGAACAGACCAGCCATACAGTTTGCTAACAATTTTTCTTACAGAAAGCTAATTATAAAATAAACAGTATCCACAAATATTTTTGGTGATAGTATTTTTGAATCACAGAGAGCAGTAAAATGCTAGAAGAGGGGAAAAAAAGTCTAAAATGTAAAAGATCTTTGACAGCAAGATCTACTGTAATATATCATAATTTCAGAAGAAGGTAGAAACTATGATACTTTTAAAAGCAATCAAAATCCCAAAGGAAGAAATAAAGTTATTTTCTTTAATCCCTATATAAGAAATTAAGAGGTTGATTTTTTTTCAGTTAGGTCTAACAATATCTCCTTACCAGAACCACTTCTAAAGTGTTTATTGATTAATATGATTTTAACATTCTGAAGAGCAAAATAATGCCAATTACAGGTAAGTTTTTTTCCTTCAAAATTCAAGACGGGCATTTGTTGTATAGGTTGAGCCCACTAAATCTTAAAACACATTGTTTGGATAGTGTATGAAATGTTTCCAAAGGAAGGAACATCAAAAATAGCATTTTAACATTAACTAGTTAGTACCCTGGCTACCAGAGAACCTCTGGTTTTAATACCTATTATTTTGAAATATATTATTACCAAAATAAAATTTTAACAGGTCCAATTGGAATAAGACTTTTTAAAAAAGTTTATATTTTAATCAAAAAAATATAATTTTATTTTTCAACCCTACCTAAATTTTTTATTCTTAAATTACAGTGCTACATTGTAGTATTACAAGTAACTAATCATTTGTACATTCAAAAATAGGTTTAAATTTTAAATGAGACAGCCATCATATTATAAGTGGAAAAACACACACAAACACACCCAAAACTCCACTAACCGTCAACTTTGAAAAATGAATGGGTAATTCAGTGACAGAACTGTGCTGTTGTTATCGTAATATTTGCAAAATAAGTTTCCAGGGAAACATTAAAAATCTATACCACAGAAAACAGATATTAGATTAGTGACTTTCTATTTGTTCTTTTCCCTTGAATTTTCAGTTTATAAGATTATAGGCATTAAGATAAAAGTAAATACAGTTGTATATCTGTCCTTTTATTTTTCACTACAGCCATTAGCTTCATAAGTCCAAATCTTGTAATGTGTTTAGAAATCACCCACATGTGACAAATGTCAGTGAGATAATCTAAGGTATGTCTGATGAATTATACAATCTAGCCCAAAAGTTTATGATAATATAGCCACTTTTAGACAGGGTTCTTAAACTGAAGAAAATCACATAACTCCTATATGTAGGATGGCTTTATATTTTTAACATAGGAAATTACATCATTTCCAATACAGGCCTAAATATTTTAAATGTTAATCCTTTATTTTCTGTAATACTAGGACTTTTTATATGAAAAAATTAAAGATTATTTCCATATTGAGAAGTCATCAGAAGTACTTAGGGAATATATCCAATGCTTTTTAATTAGAAAAATTCTATTGATTACTACCTTCAAGGCTATGAAAGACCTAATTCTATTTTTAAACCTAGCATTTTGTGACTCATGCTTTTTATTAATACTTTAAAATGTTACTTAATTCAAATATGCAAATACTCACTGACTCACTAGGAAGTAATAAAAGCAAACACACTTTTTTGGGAGCAAATGTTAGTTATAATATTCAAATGTGAAAGGTCTGAAGAAAGTTATAATAATAATGCAACTGAAAAGGAAATTTGGTTGTTTCAGTGGCAAGCTAAACAAAGAAAGCCATTCCAAGCAAATTTTAGAAAAATGTCTCCAAGGATAATGATTAAACCTATTTTCATATATGTCTGTGAATAAGCAATCTGATTTATAAAAATGGATATAATTTCCATAGTGGAAAATATTTTAAGACTTAATATAAGAATTCTGAGACAATTTTTTTTATACTAAGTAAAGAAATTCAGAACGTCCAGAGTAGTGCCTAGACTTCTGTATATTTATAGAACTTCATGGACAAGTCTGATCTGCAATCTCAATTTTAAGAAACACTGGCTTAGAAATGCTAGATTCAAATTAAAGAAGTTGTGGCCAACATTTTAATAAATATTGAAATGATGAGTGATAACATTGTATTTGTTGTTGCAGTAATGTCATCAGAAAAAGCACCACCGGGACTCTGATATAGGAAAGCTCTTCAGAACAATGCTCTGGATGGGGTTAAATTTAAAGCAAAACAAATGTTGCGTATATATGATAAAGGAATTTGGTTAAAAAGAATATTGAGAATGGATATTTGTTGGGAGTAATAAAAATATTTAAGATTGGCCACTTACTGGGAAAGAACAGAATCAGCTGATGAACAATAATTAGGACAAGCTAGCAGTCTGGGTGATAGAGGAAAACAACAGATTCGATTTAGAAAAGAAAAAATATATATGCATTTTTATCAGTCAAAAATTTTATCCCACAGACAGGTTTAAGAACTTATTTATGGAAGACAATTGTATTAATGTATTTGAAGAGACCAACCTTCACTCATTCCCACACACACCCTATGACAGTACATGTTATATATATATATTATTTAATATTTATATTTAATATAGTTCATGCACTTGCATCTTTTCATTGGAAGGGTAATAAAAACAATGCTACTCATTTTTATAAATGTAAATATTTATAAAAGGGGCTAACCTCTTTAAATTTAAAAGATTTCCATTAGTGATTTCTTTAGTAACAACAATAAAAATATACCTAAAGGCAAAGGCCATGTGTCTATCATCATTAAATAAAAATCTGGTATTCAAGTTAAAATTTTCTCTGCCTACTCTTATTCGAGTAAAATATAAACAATCTTAGGTTAAGATTCAACTTTCAAATCTAAATTCTAATTAATTATGAGGATACACTTACTCCCTTCAGATGCATAAAACTGATTCTCAATACCAGTTCTTTAAGGATAATTGTTATATGCCTTACATTGAGTAAAAAAGGAAGCCTCACTGACATTCCTTGCTAATGACATGAATACCCGGCATTTTCTCCCCTACAAAAAGGATGTGACCTAAAAAAAGCACTGTGACCTAATGGAAACTAATAGATAGAAACTTATTAATAGCTGACACGAGCTTCACAGGCTTAATGTAAGCCAACTGGACAAGCTTTATTTTCATCATATACTTTTCTAATTTCCATGCCCTGATCTATTTTTTCTTCTCTCCTCCAATTCTAATTATAACAGAATACTGATTGGAGAGTGAAAAACTGGTTCTTTATTCTCTAAATGAACACAGCTATTGTTATGTTTTAATACTTGAGACCTCACTTTGTAAGAGCAAAATCATTATCCTAGTATAAATCTCTACCCATCACCAGATTTTTTATTTCCATCATCACCAGTGTCAAGAAACAAAAGCAGATGAGAATTTCTTTACATAATAAACTTCATAGCAGCTAAGTTATTATACTAAGTTATTATACTGATCAACTGAAATCACCTGTTATTCCATTCTAATCATACTGTTGTTCATTTATCCCATTATATAAATAGAAACATCTTCTACGGATAACATCTAAATACACCAGAATCCCCCAAAGTATATCTTTCCAGTGATTTTATCTAGTCATTTTTAATTCAGTGGGCTACACTGTTTAAAAGAGGCTTATATTTTTCAGCTAATGGTTCTACTATATTTGCTTACTTTAATAGATAAACTCAAGTTCCATTCCTCTAGACTAATGCTAGTATTCTCAGATTTCCCTGAAAATCTTACATTTTTGGTTTTTACTTTTTGGAAAAAGTAATATAGGAAGAATTCCACAGTTCTGAGCATCTACTGTTAGTCTAGGTAGGATATTTATTTTACTGTGAACAAAGGGTCTTCTATTTGTGCTATAAAATGAATACTGCTTGTTCAGTTCTTCCATCTAAAGAGCAGCAAAGTAAAACACCATAAATTTAGGAATTTTGCCCTGATAAGTTAAACTTCTTTGTAATTTGTAAGCATCCATCCAAAATAATTCCAAAGCCAGTATTAAGTAACCTTAAAAATAAGGCATCCTTATACCAAAATCTCTGGATAAGTAAGCAAAAGAAAAATTTCCAAAATTTTGATTCAGAAAAGTTTTTTTTAAAAATCAACATTTAAAATATCAAAAGTCAATCATGTTGGTTCTGATGACTTGAAACCTCCTAAAAGATGTAATATAAAAAACAGAAATAGAATTAAATAAATAGAAGCAACAAATCTCAATAAATCATAATTATCTCTATTGACTTGTTTTGAGACATTTTCATCACAAATTTCTGAAGTCCTTAAAAAGGAAATCTTTACATTTACATATGCTCCATTTTACACTTGCTGCACCAGTTTATTTCAGTGTTATTTACCTAAAACATAACTGTATGTTTTTTTTTTACTGAACAAAACAGGGGATTTTAAATAATTGGAAGGAAAAATTCTTCTATAAGTTATTAGTCCTGACTCAAACAGATCACATCTATTCAAAAAGCTTCCCTAAACTGAACCCTGTACTTCTCTTAAATTTTTTTTACTCACTCATAGGATTATAAAGAGAATGGTATTGGATACTGTGGACAACTGAAGAGAAGAATTACAGAGGGAAAGTTTCTTAAAGATGCCACTGAGAAGACAACCAGATGTAAGGAAATCTATGTGGAATAAAAAGGAATATTATTATTTTATAAGCAACTATTACTGTGAGAAGTCTTTTTTTTCCTTCTGATCACAGACCCCTTTATGAAAGCCACACACTCACTTCTGAAAAAAATGCAGTTAACACATGGAATTTCCACACAATTTCAGGGGATTCATAAATTCCCCCAAACCCATGGAATCTCAGTTTAAGGACACTTGTAGTTGTAAAAGCTCTCTGACCTAACTCAAAAGATGACCTTATAAAAGCACTAGGTTTAACAATCTCTTTGAATTCCAAAATAAATCTATCAGCTTTTTACTTTAAAATATTGAACATTAAGCATATGTAATACTTAACTATGTATAATAAAATTATCTTAAAAGTTATACATAACATGAAATAGAAATGTTTTTAAAAATTACTATATCTAAATGACTAGTTTAAGTGATGCATATCTTTTCATTTATCAATCACATGGAAGTTGTAGGTAAAAATGTTAATGTATTTGGGTATCATTGCTAACATTTCTAATTATGGGGAAAGACAAAGTATTTGCTTAGTAAAGAATAAGCCAAGACAATTTGAACTTGGCAGATATAAATTGTGTTGCAAATGCTAATACTTAAAGGGTCCACCTGTCAAAATCATAATCAGCATTTTTCCTTAATTATACTACTAATGAAATACATCTGCAAAATATATCTCTAGTTTCTCTTATTCCTACTTAACCTTTATTATTTAAGCATAATAATGTATTTCAGTAAGTTCTCATTAGTAATAAGCTAAGTAGTAGTGGAATGACCCAATGTACCGGTTTCAACTGTCTTATATTCAACTTATCATGAAAACCTGGAATTTACACTGAGTTTTGAAAATCCAAGTGTGCAACAGGTGCCTTTAAAATATTACCCCAATCAGGAGTTCCATAAATAAGTTTATATATTTTTAAATATGGTGGTCAGTAAATAGGAAAATGATTAACTAAAGAATACATTAAAAGCCATCTCTCTCAACTGTCCCATCATCTGTACTCTTCTTAGAAATACCTTAAATTTTGGTGTTTAGAATAATAATGGAATTATATCCAATTTCTTCATTTTTGGGAGTTTTTTCCCCCAATGGCTCTAATGATCTTTAGGAATGAACCACAAATCTAATTCAATTGTATTTTCTCAAATCCACCTTGATGTAGATCAAGAACTAGTAAGACTGGATTCATTGTTAACCAGAAATTTTTAAAGTGGATAATAATACAACCTGTGTCTTTATACACACATAGCACACTGAATTTTGGTAATCGCTAAATGATTTTCAGTGATAAAAGCCCTGATATATTTCAGATAGTTGAGAGATGTGGTTAAAGTGACAAAGCAATAAATCAAGTTTCATTTATCCATGACAGAAGATGGAAATAGTAATCACTTGGAATCTTGAGTATTATATTCAGTTTCTCCAGCTGAAATCTGGCTGAGTCGCTTGCTAGATCCCCACAATTTTCGAGAAAGCTGACCTGAACGCATCTGTTTAAAGTAATCCAGAGAAATGAAGAATAGATGTTATTAAGAAAAAAGAAAGAAAAAAAAGAATACGTGAAATTGATATGCAAGACACTGATTTTGTAGAATGCAGAATATAAATTTTGTTAGCAGAATAATTAACATTTTAGTGATTCTTGATTAATAATAATTAAAGAAAGGCTTCTCTATGTTGGTTGTCTTTCAATTGAGAAAGGTCTAATGCTGAAGTGTTAATTTTAAAATTAAATGTCCCAGTTTGTCCAAATTACCAGAGTCCCTTTCTTTATAAATTAACGAAACAGGGTGTTACATGCAACTAATGAATCACTGAACACTACATCAAAAACTAATGATGTTGGCCAACTGAACATCATAAAAAAAGGTTAAAAAATAAAAATATATTTCACTTCATTAAAATAATCTTCTGAAATTATACTTTAGCTAATAAGACACTTAAGTTTGAGGATTTTCTCCTCTTGTATTTAAAATAATATTAATGCTTATCACAAGGATAAGAAGAAAGTAAAATTATGTTCGGATGAAGAGAAAAAAATTTTAGGATATTTTCATATAAGAATTTCAAAAAATAATATTTAACAATATAATGATAAAATGTAATTTAGAAAACAAGAATAACCTAAGGTCTCTGAAGGTAAGAATCACATTTTGTCCACCATTAATTTATATCACCTAGCACACTTCTCAGCATATAATAATTATTAATTAAATATTAATCCAATTGGTGAATAAATGCCCCTCTAAAAGTGCTTACACTTCTAGGCAGGGCAAAAAAAGAACCCATGTGGGAAACATTTCTGTCTAAGCATATGATTATGATGTCAGAATTACTTTCCCAAGTGCAATCTACTTTTTTTTTTAAAGATTTTTTATTTATTTGATAGAGACACAGAGAGAGAGGGAACACAAGCAAGCTACTTTTTAATGGCAATTCATCTGCCACCCTTTTTCAATATTTACCCTTCTCTAAGGTACATTTATTGAAGGGATAAAAAAATCAAGCCTCATGCATAGACACTTTGGCATGCTTGTTATGCATTTTCATTTCCAGATGTATTTCCGGAAACATTATTTCCATTAATCTATTACCACTTTACGATCTTATTTATAAATACAAATTTTGTACTGAGAATGTAATACATAAAACTGATACATGACTTAAAATACATGTTAATCAAGATTTTGATCTTTTAGATAAATTCAGATATTGAAATAAAAATTTTTTCATACCTAAATCTTGATTTAATTTTGATACTGTCATATACAATTATATTTTAATTATGCAAGATTCTAAGTATTCAATTATATAATAAAGTAGATGCATACTGCCAGCTGATACATCCAAAGATGAATAAGAGAATAAGAAACAGAGAAAAAGAGAATAAGAACTAACAAAATCTTAAAATATCTCCTTGGTAGATTTATTAAAACCAGTGACAATGTGTTATTCACTAGTGTCTTCTCTGGAAACAATTCCAACAGATGCCGTATTTTAGATTTCTCAGAAAAGACTGATGGTATCAATACAACTTTATAATGCTTAATTTGACTCTATGTAATAAAAGAAATTTCTAAAAAAATCACTAAATTACTTGGAATATAGCCACTAAGTTTTTGAAGGAACAATATCAGATTTATGTTATCTGAATATTCAGTAATTGATAAACCACTGGCAAATCTATAGTAAGTACCGGAAACTCATTGAGAATTAGCATATTTGTTCTGCTAATTCTGGTATTTTTGTTGAAAGTAAAATACATAGTTTTATTGTTTGAGTCTGTATTTCATTTTTTATAAAGGCTTTTATGTATTAAAAATCCAAGTAGTGTCTTGAATCTAGATTTGGAAAGATAGATAATAAAAGAACTTTCTTATTCATATAGAGTGACAGAAACTCCAATTGTGTGCTTTCAATTATATCATAAAAACATCACTCTTGAATACTAGCTTTATCCCCTTTTCATTTACTGCCCTTTGAAAAATCAAACCTGGTTTTTAATTTGTTCATCCATAATGGAGACTTCTGATTCAGCTGGAACAAAGGAGAACCAAAGGAACCCCCAATAGTTTGGGAAAAGAAGTTCTTGATGCTATGTTTTACCTCAGCTGGCTTGCCAACACCCACTACAATCAACTTGCCATCTTCTAATCCTACAAGAATATGGCTGTATTCTTTGGTTACACAAACACAGTGGATAGGCATTCGCATGGCTAATGGGTTCATGCTGAGATTCAAACTAGAAGAGAAATAAAACACACACACATAATTACATGGATACATAATAGATTCAGAGAATTTTGTACTTGGAAGATAACCTAATGATCATCTGATTCTGCATTCTAATTTTACAGATGTGTAACTTAGATTCAGGAAGCCTGAATGGCTCACACAAGGGCCCACATAATAGCATTACTTAAAATACATTTTTTTTCCTATTCTCAACATCTGTTTTTCTTCTAACCATATATATGATCTCTCACTAAATGATTTTTACCTTGTTGATTAAAAAGTGACAGTAGGACAAAAAGGGCAAAAGTTCAAAAAGTGTTTGTGTGCATGTTGGGGGGTAAGGTTGATAAACTGTTCTATCTGCCTTGTCTTAGAAGATGTAATATATAAATATATAATATAAAACATAATAAATATTTAAAAATATGATATAAAAACATGACATAATACTCAATTATGGAAAATATCCATGGCTTTTAGGATTAGAAAACAAAGAATCCTCTGATGTACACACTATGTTTGGACTAACCTGCTAAAAGATCTCATTCATTTTTAGAATCTGGCATTCTTTTTTTTTTCCTTACCACTGATCTGGGATTCTCTTAACAATACCATAAAAGAAAATCCTTTTCCTTCATTGGTTTAAATAACAAGACTCCCCACCAATTTTACAAATACATATACACAATCGTGAACAGATACATTAGCCTTAAAAATACTTTAGTTTGTTTTACCACAATTTAAAAAAAGTTTTAAGCCCTAACTGTAGTTTGTAAAAATTCAAACTATAATTGAACAAATTTCCAAATCCATAATCCAGGTTTGGCACCATGAAAATTCTTTTTCTGGCTTTTAAAATTTTACTGTGGTAAAATACACATAACATAAAATTTTCTACATTTTTAAAATGTACATCTATATTTCATTTACTTATCCAGAAATACTTTAGCTTCCCAAATTTTTTTCAGAGTTGCCAAAAATGACATGTTCATAATAAATGATAAACCAAAAGATTAGAAATCTTTGATTGCTGATTTCTACTCGGCTGAAGACCAAGAGTTGCATGCTCCACTCAATGAGCCAATGAGTTGCCCCTATTACCACCTTTTCTTAAGTGAGACTTCAATGATTCTTATTATTTACCTGTGGAGATCTCTTATGGACAGGAAGCCTTGTAAGCTGCCCATGATAATATGTTCTCCAGTGATACAAATATCCGATACTTGTTCTGTCAGGACTTGGGACCCTAGATACTTGCCATTTACGGAAAACAGATGTAACGCATTCTTATCCTGTAAAGATTAGGTGAAGAAAATTTAATGATCTCAAATGAAAATGGAGTTTTAATACTGACAATTAAAACTGTGACTATAACAGAATAAATACTGGATTTAAAATTTTGGAATAAACATATAGTTACGTTTAAAGAAAAAGTGTGTAGACAATATTATTAAAGTGATTTTAAATGAGAAGAAATTATATATTTTAAGAAAATATTTAAATAAATAATTGCCAAATAAATACTAAACAGGGACTCTCATCTCCCCAAAAGAATGAAAATCTCATCCAGTCTAAAAAACCTCACAATATATTTTTTTAAACCCCACATTCTTAACACAGAACAAAAAGATTCTCTTAACTTTTTTTAAAGCTACAGTTCTTTGTAAATTTTTAATTTATTTTAAGTTATCTCTATGCCCAATGTGGGACTTGAACTCATAAGCCCTGAGATCAAGAGTCTCATGCTCTATCAACTGAGCCAGCCAAGATTCTGTTAAATTTTTTTTAAGGATTAATTTTTTTTGAGAGAGAGAGAGAACGCGCATGTCATGGGCACGCAAGCGGGAGAGGGGCAGAGAGAGAAAGAAAGAGAGAGAGAATCCCAAGCGGACTCCCCACTCAGCGGGGAATCCAATGCAGGGTTCAATCCCACGACCCTGAGATCATGACCTGAGCTAAAATCAAGAGTCGGATGCTTAACTGACTGAGCCGCCCAGGCCCCCCAATTCTCTAATTTTTATTTATTTTATTTATTTAAAAAAAATTTTTAAAGATTTTATTTATTTATTTATTTTAGAGAGGGAGAGATAAGACAGAGGGAGCATAAGCTGGGTGAGGGGTAGAAGGAGAGGGACAAGCAGACTCCCTGCTGAGTAGGAAGCCCAACTTGGGGCTCGATCCCAGAACCCCAGGATCATGACCTTAACCAACCGAGCGACCCAGGTGCCCCACTGATGCTCTAATTTTTAAAAAGCTTTATCATGGAAAGAAAGAGAACATAATTCATGGCTTATTTATACCCAGCATGTATAAGAAGAATTTAATTTGGTTATAATTTCCACTTAAGCTTCTGAAGTCCCACATAACCAGAAATTCTTTTTGAAATCATTTATTATATAGGTCAATAGAAATCCCTAAAACAAAATATAAACATGAGGCCAAGACTGTGATAGGGGTCCATTTAATGATAAGGAATGAACAAACTGAAAGATAAAAGGAAAATATCCTTTTCAAAAAAATGGTGTTCTTCATCAAAATGCCTCAAATATACAGTATAATACAGAAAGGAAAAGACGGCTTATAGTCTAGCCCTACTGCATGTAACTGTTATATATAATACCTTGAGATTGGTGTTTTCGTCAATGCTGGAATAGATGACAATATGTCCTTCCCAAGATACAGCCAAATTAGGAATAGTCAGGAGCAGAGAACTCTCACAAGGTGGCCGTAAAGTCCTCATGTATTGACCTTTCTGAATGGTATGTATAATCACAGTGCCATCCTACACAGAAATAATATTAGAATATGAAAAAGAGAACAACAAAAAAGAAGGCCACATAAATAAATACGGGAAAGGAACTCAGAAAATGATTATTCTACCAAGGACACATGTATCTTAGGAAAAATTCCAACCTTGAAATCTGAAATAGTATTCTATTTTATTTTTATTTTCTTAAAGATTTCATCTATTTATTTGTCAGAGAGAGAGAGTACAAGCAGGGGGAGCGGCAGGCAGAGGGAGAAGCAGGCTCCCCACTGAGTGAGGAGCTGGATGCGAGACTTGATCCCAGGACCCCGGGATCATGACCTGAGCCAAAGGCAGATGCTTAACCAACTGAGCCATCCAGGCATCCCTTGAAATAGTATTTTATTTCATAAGATGCCCTCTTTCCTTAACTAATAAGACCAGTAAAATACCAAAATAGAATCCAGTCTCTTTTAGTTTCTTCTTTCTGTGTTATGCTACTTCTGCAAAGTCCTACACAAACAATAAAGAATTCCTATACTTTTACCAGTGCCCCTAGAAAAAAATTTATCATTCTAATTTTAACACATGTGCCTCCAAAGCAAGCATGAAAATATTTACATATATTGTTTCTTGATTTGTAGAAAAAATTAGCATTTTTTTTTAAGATTTATTTATATTTAGAGGGAGAGAGAGTGGGGGGCAGAGGGGCGGACGGAGAGAGAGAATCTCAAGCAGACTCCCTGCTGAGCATGGAGCCCAAAGTGGGGCTCAATCTCATGACCCTGAGATCATGACCTTAGCCGAAATCAAGAGTCAGATGTTTAACCGACTGAGCCACCCAGGCGCCTGAAAATTAGCATTTCTTAAAGGTGAAATCTTACCCTTGATCCTGACACTGCCATGTCTAGTTCAGTGCTGATGCCGACACTCAATACTTCATCAGTGTGTCCATACAGAATCTGAAAGGGTTTAGATGCTAAGCCCACAGGAACACCTCCCTAATGTTAAAAGAGAAGCAAAGGTTAATTTTCTAGTAGGCTATTTTCTGCAAAAAGGTTTATACTATATTTAAATTGTCTAATCACAAAGTAACATTGCAACTAGTTCTTACCACAGCATCTATTCATAACAGGACTCATTCTTATGTTCCTCCTTGGATTCTCAAATTATTCTCAGTCTTCTGAAGCTCTAAAACTTAATCTGAATAGTTCCAAAGTTGATTGCTTTGGATTAATTCTAACAGGTATATTATTTGCCCTTTTCATCTACGGATTTGCTCTTCCTTTACTACAAACAAACTTCATATTCTTTCTCTGAATACTTTTTTTTTTGGTTGACATAAAATGTCAGGTATACAACAATGATTCAACAATTCTATAAATTACGCAATGCTGACCACGGTAAGTGTAGTTATCGTCTGTCACCATACAATGTTGTTATAATATATTAGCTATGTTCCCTATGCTGTATTTCTGTGACTTATTTTATAGAACTTAATTATTTTAAATCTTTATTTCATATTAATAATTTGATATTCAGCCACATCAAATCTGTTGCTTACTGTTTCTACTTTTGAATTTATTATATTTATAATGGTATTGGTTTTAATACTGGTTTGATTCTTCTGCAATCATTCTTTTCATCTTAAGATTTATTTTTACTTTAGAGAGAAAGAGAGCACACACGCATGAGCGAGTGGGGGGGGGAGGGGCAGAAGGAGGGAGAGAAGCAGACTCTCCACTGAGTGTGGATATGGACGCAGGGCTCCATCCCACAACCCGGAGACCACGACCTGAGCCAAAATCAAGAGTCAGTCCCTTGGCCTACTGAGCCACCCAGGTGACACTCCTTTTCATCTTTTTTTTTTTTTTTTTTAATTTATTTGAGAGAGAGTGAGTGAGAGAGCACGAGCAGGGGCAGAGGGAGAAGGAGAAGCAGACTCTCCACTGAGCAGGGATCCTGACACGGGGCTCAATCCCAGGATCCTGGGATCATGACCTGAGCTGAAGGCAGACGCTAAACCAACTGAGCCACCCAGGCACCTCTCCTTTTCATCTTACTATGCCACTATATAATTTCATCTTTGAGGTGCTTAAGCCTGTTTTACTGAATTGATATTCTTATGTTCTTCTAATAGCACAATTTTATCGCAGGGAATCTCTCTACACTTGAGTTGTTGTCTTCACCTGTTTTTAGCATGTTTTGTTTGTACATTACTTTCTATGATATAGAATGAGTAGTTGCCATGGTATTTGTTTATAATTATCCTAGATAACTCTGGATAGGTAGATAACATTTACCTGTGCTATATAATGTAGATGAATTCCCATCAATACTCCTATCTGGGACACATTTGTCTTCCTCTAAGATTGTCAGTCTGAATGCTTCGTGCACTCTAATTTATAAAAATCAGGTAATTCCTATAATATTTAAGCATTTCAAATTACAGAGAAAGATGGACCCTTCTCAAAATCATTTTATAAAGTTTGCATATCCCTACACTAAACATGGCAAAGACAGAACAAATACAGATTTATTTCACATATGAGTAGAGAAATACAGTACTAGCAAATATAATTCTGTAGTAAAATATAATATGTCGTGAATTATATGGGTTTATTATAGGAATTCAAGACTGGTTCAAACCTAGGAGACTTTTCAACATAATACATTAAGAAAAAGAGAAAAGCTATGAATAAAAAAAAGGAAGAGAAACTGAAAAATAGCTGAAAAGGACATTATGGGAACTACTGACAAAATCAGAACATGAACTGTGGATTAGATAATTTGTATTGTATATTGTATAAATGTTAAGTGCTCTGATTTTGATAACTGAACTCTGGTTATATATAAAAAAGACTTGTTCTTAGAAAATACACACTGAAGTGTTTAGGGATAAAGGAACATAATATCTATAACCTTTTTTTTTTTAAGATTTTATTTTTAAGTAATCTATACCCAAAGTGGGGCTCCAACTCACAACCCCAAGATCAAGAGTTGCATGCTCTACTGACTGAGCCAGCCAGGTGCCCCTACAACTTTTAAATTGTCCCCCCCTCCAAAAAAAGATGCTGTGAGAAAGACATCAGAAGAGAATAATAACACAAATGCAAAACTGTAGTATTTTTGTACTGAAATTTTACTAAAAAGCTACCAAAGGGAAAAAAAAAAAAACAGAAGCTAACTACTTAAATATAAAAAAACACAACCCAACAACAATGTATAGTGCAATACAACAGCAAATGCTACACTAAATAGCACAACAGTGAAGGCACTTTCATCAAAATCAGACATAAGACAGGGATGCTCACTATAATTTTTTTACCCTACTGCATTAGCTAGTAATGAAACAAGGTAAGAATATGAAATCATTAGTATACTGGAAAAGATAAATCCATCTTTATTTTCATCATAAGACTGTGTATCTATTTTTGGAGAATCTAAGAAATACTAATAATTATAAGAACTGGATAAAAAGATTTGGTAAACCAATTAGATAACTGTATAGAAATCAAAAGTTTGGTTTTTTTTACAGTAACCATAATCAATTAGAAGTAAAAATGATTTTAAAAAATCCCACCAAAATAATATTATGATAATTAGAAATAAACATTAGAAGTACAGAACCTAATAGAAAAAAATTACTATAAGATTTTATTGAAGAACATTAAAAAGAGAACTGAAATAAATATGGAAAGACATTTTCTATTTCTGGAAAGGCATGATTATAAAAATGTCAACCCATACCAAATTAACACATAAATTAAATATAATTTCATCAAGACTAAAATAGAATTTTTGAGGAAGATATGGTTGAAATATTTTTAAAGTTCGTATGGAAGAATAAACGCTAATATAAGATAGCTGAGAACATTTTTTATAAGGCAACATTTTTTATAAGGCAACACAGTGAGAAATTTTTAAAGATTTTATTTATTTATTTGAGAGAGAGAGAGAATGAGAGACAGAGAGCATGAGAGAGGGAAGGGTCAGAGGGAGAAGCAGACTCCCTGCCAAGCAGGGAGCCTGATGCGGGACTCGGTCCCGGGACTCCAGGATCATGACCTGAGCCGAAGGCAGTCGCTTAACCAACTGAGCCACCCAGGCGCCCAGTGAGAAATTAGTTTTACCAAATATTAAAACTACTAAAATAAAAACATCTTGGTGTTGCCATAGAAATAGGTAAGTGTAAAAATATGGGGAATCTAGAAAAAGATCCAATCCAGTGGGTAATCATTTATGCTTGCATAAATGACTTTCCACCCAGAAGTAAACAAAATCATATATTTTAATATTCTATATTATTATAAAATATATATTATATACTCTATATTCTATCATATATAGCTACACAGTATATATCTAATACTTATTCTATATTAAAAATTATAGAAAAGTTAATTACCAATGGATTAAAGATTAAAATGTAAAAAAAATAAAGCAAGAAAAATATTACAAGAAAATTTTTAGGTAATTATTTTAATAAATTTGGAGGAGCAGAAAGCCTGTTAAGCTAAGTAGAAAACCTAAAAGCCATAAAGAAAAAAGACACTTCCTTGAAGCAACATTATAATGAGAGTACAATACAGTTGATAAAAATGATAAATCTGTAATTTTTAGTAGTCCCACCAGAAAGGAAGACAATGTGTAACTACCTGTTGTGTTATTTGCCATATCATACATGTAGTGTCTCTGGAACCAGAAATCAAATGTATTCCACAGTAATCTGTAGCTAAACAAGTCACAATATCTGTAAGAAAAAAGGAATTACAAAGAATGAAAATGGTGTCATTTTGCAGGAACAGAACTATAAGGGCAATTTTAGTTTATGTTCTATTACTCAATCAGTTGTTTAGCAGGAGAAATGTAAATGGCAATGGAAAAAGCACTGGAAAAGGGTGACACAGGAAAGAAGCAGTATTTTTTTTTTTTAAGATTTTATTTTTAGGGCGCCTGGGTGTATATGCCCCGACCCCAAATTTTGGCTCAGGTTGTGATCTCAGAGTTGTGAGAGCAGGCTCTGAGCTGGGCTCTGTGCTCAGCATGGGGTATGCTTAGAATTCTCTCTCTCCCCCTGCCACTCCACCCTTCCCCCTCTCTAAAATAAATAAATAAAATCTTAAAAAAAAAACAAATATGTTAAAGATTTTATTTTTAAGTAATCTCTACACCCAATGTGGGGCTCAAACTTAACAACCCTGAGTTCAAGAGTTACATGCTCCACCACCTGAGCCAGGCGCCCCAGGAAAGAAGCAGTATTAAACTCAAGTAGGAGAGTTTTCTTTGAGGCCACCCTGCTTTGAGAGTGAAGAATACACACGGGACAGGGAAATGTCTGTTGGAGTCCTGGCAGTGGGTTAGGTGGCTTGGAATGGATCCCCAGGAAGTTTTGATATGCTTCTCTGCTTTCTCACTCTCTCATTTCCATTCACGTTCTACTCCCATTAGGAACCGCAATCCTGTGGAATATGTGTCCCTAACCAAAATAGTACAAAATACACTACAAATTCTCAATATGAAAAACATTTTTGCTAAACAGTAAAAACCTGAGCTAAGTGGCATCTCAGGAGCCACCAGTATAGAAGTAGTAGCAGATCCCATTTCCCTTTCTTAATAGGTTTACTAGGGGAAAATCTACAAGATGGATGTTTTGTTTTTAGAGACAGCCGGGGGGGGGGGACCAAAGGAGAGGGAGAGAGAAAGAGAGAGATAGAATCTTAAACAGATTCCATGCCCAGTGCGGAGCCCAGTGCAGAGCCCGACGAGGGCTGATCTCACAACCCTGATATCATGACCTGAGCTGCAATCAGGAGTTGGATGCTTAACCTACTGAGCCACCCAGGCATTCCCACAATGTTCTATTTTTATATTGAAGGCTGAAACACTAAGGAGCACCAGGTTAAACTACATTCAGTAATTTACCTCCCTCATGATTAACTGTTCACTAATAGGGCAGGTGATGTCTTATTCAACTGCGACAGATTTTTTTTTATACCATTTTGTCTTAAAATTCTTATTTGTATCAACCAATTTTTATTTATTTTTATTTTTTAAAGATTTATTTATCTTGAGAGAGAGGCGGGGGTAAAGGGAGAGGAAGAGAATCTCAAGCAGACTCCCTGCTAGTTGTGGAGACCAACGTGGGGCTCCATCCCACCACCCTGGGATCATGACCTGAGCAGAAATCAAGAGTTGGATGCTCAACTGCCTGAGCCACCCAGGCACCTTGTATCACCTAATTTTTAAAAAAAGACTTAGCCTAACATTGTTCAGATACTATGAAGCTCTATTTAATTTGTATGGTATTTAGTATAACCTAAATACATTAAATACTCATAAAGCATAATGTTCATAACACTGCTCTATCAGAAAGTTTACTTAGCTCTGAAGGTAAATTTTAATGCTCTTTATAGGACCACGTACTACTTTTGTAGTTAGAAGAAACAGAGAAAACTTCTTTTTTGGGGAAAAAAAGTTAATACTTACCCATGTGTCTGATATTGTGTGAAATAATTTTGCCTTTTGTAAGTGACATCACTTGAATGCTATTATCCCAGTGTCCAGCACTGAAAAGCAACTTCGCATCATGTGATACTATGAATAGCTTAGAAGTGATCTCCAGCCCTGGAGCAAAAGGACCATTCATACTACGCTGAGTTCTGTAAACACAATTAAATATTAGACTTTTCCTTAAAAGACCACTTAGACTGATATCAACTATTTTTTAAATCTCTCGGAAAAATAAAGAAAAATAAATCCGTTCAACTGTTCAATTTGAAATGTCCATTAATGAATGATAACGACTTTCAGAAAATACATTAATCGTATTCATATTTTTCATTACATAAAAAGATACATAACAAATAGTCTCAAGGGTTAAGCTAAAGAAGTTGAGACTGGTGAAGGTGTGGAGAAGATTTAAATCTTGCCTTTCAAAGCCAACTTAGGAAGATTGTCAATTCTGTAAATGGTAGTATCAAAGTATAAAGGACAAGATAAGGATATGACAGGATAAGGAAAGCTGGAAATCAACTGAAACCAGGAATCTACTGCACAGGCAGATAAATGTGAATCTAACAATATTCATGAAGATCATTTTTCACTCAAACCAAAGCAAGCATATGGGTTTTATCTGCTTTCCAGTTAAATAAATACCCATGAGGTCAGCCAATCTAGATTTTTTTTTTTTTTAATTTATTTATTCATTTGAGAGAGTGAGAATGAGAGAGAGTACATGAGAGGGGGCAGGGTCAGAGGGAGAAGCAGGCTCCTCGCCGAGCAGGGAGCCCGATGCGGGACTCAATCCCGGGACTCCAGGATCATGACCTGAGCCGAAGGCAGTTGCTTAACCAACTGAGCCACCCAGGCGCCCCCAGCCAATCTAGATTTTGTAGAAAGACACAAAGAAGTCATATGTAACTAACGAATTGTTGAACACTACATCAAAAACTAATGATGTACTATATGTTGGCTAATTGAACATAAAAAAATAAAAAGTGATTGCGCTTCAGTGTGTGTACAGAGAATGAGGGCCAATTCTGACAGTTTAGCTCTAGAATTTTATTATTCAATATTAATTTGCTGGAGGTATGCTTTGTGCCAAGCACAACAATACTAAGGCCTATGTGGGAATAAGAAGGAAAAAAGACATTGCTCCTAATAAACATACAGCTAAAACAACTCAGAATAAGGGAAACATTAATTTAAAATGTAACCTCTGGATATTTAAACAATTAACTAAGGTATGTATAAATAAATAAATAAATAAAATCTTTAAAAAATAATAAAGTAAAATTAAAAAAATTAAAAATTAAAAATTAAAAAATAAACTAAGGTAATAATAAATTCTTATATAAAACACACAAGGCTTACTTATAAGTAACATTGTACAACAAAAATACAATCAAGCCTAAAAACTACTCCTAATAATTTGTTTCTTTTTTTTTCTTCCAGATTTTATTTATTTGTCAGAGAGAGCGCGCACAAGCAGGGGGAGAGGGGAAGCGGCAGGTGGAGGGAAAAGCAGGCTCCCCGCTGAGCAAGGAGCCTGCTGCAGGGCTCGATCCCAGGACCCTGGGATCATGACCCAAGCCAAAGGCAGACACTTAACCGAGTCACCCAGGTATCCCTAATTTCTGTTTCTATAATGATATTATAGAAATTGTTTTATTCTTAAGCCAGTATTCAAGTCAGGAAGAGGGAAAGAGGGAAGAAAATCTGCAGGTCTACTGTATTACTTTCAAGATGACACCAATCAATTTAGTTGTTTTTCCTGGCAATAAGGTACCAGCTGCACCTGTTTTGCTTTAAATGTTCATTTACTTACTTTGGATTTGTTACAGTTTGATCTTTGATGAATGTAAAGTAATTAGAAATGTTTCTGTCATAAGGCAGCCATCCATGGGTTCCAACAATGTAATTCATGCTTACTGTTATCTGGAAAAGAACACATGAAGACAAAAATGAAATAAAAGATTAAAGAAAGCAGCACAAAATAACCAAATGCTCACATGATGTTATCATTTATCATTTAAGGAATAATGTGGGATTGTGTACTTAAAGCACAAAATTCATTAATTCTTTTTTTAAGATTTTTAGGTAATCTCTACACCCAAAGTGGGGCTCAAACTCAACCCTGAAATCGTATGTTCTACTGACTGAGCCAGCCAGGTGCCCTGCATAAAGTCAAAAGCTCTTTATTTTTATCTTTATTTTTAGTTTATCTTATATCTCGTGGCAAGAAAAGTTGTCCAATGTATCTTTTTTTTTAAAGATTTTATTTATTTATTTGAGAGACAGAGAGAGAAAGAGCATGAGCAGGGGGAGGGGTAAAGGGAGAGGGACAAGCAGACTCCCCACTGAGTGGACAGCCCAACGTGGGGCTCAATCCCAGGATCCTAAGGTCATGACCTGAGACTGTCAGATGCTTAACTGACTGAGCCACCCAGGCGCCTCTGTATCTTTCTTTAGTGAGATAATTTTCCTCATTTCTCAAAGTTTACTAGCATCTATTAGTTGGCAGTCAGAAGACATTAAAAGTCATTAAAAGAAATTAAGAAGCTCTCTCTTCTTAGTGACAGTTATAGTGAATATTTTTTTTTAAAGATTTATTTATTTGAGAGACAGCAAGCAAGTGAGTGCAGGGAGGAGGGGCAGAGTGAGAGTGAGAATCCCAGGCAGTCTCCCCTCTGAGCATGGAGCCTGACGCAGGGCTTTCTCTCACAACCCTAAGATCATGACCTGAGCCAAAATCAAGAGTCAGAGGCTTAACCAACTGAGCCACTCAGGTGCCCCCTACAGTGACTATTCTTTTGAAAAATGAAAAGATCCCCCCATAGATTATAAAAGATTACCAAAGAGATTAACTTAAAGAAATACAGGTATTAAAGGTGAAAATCACAAGAATTCTACCATTGAAAGGCACTTTTTTTTTTGATATATCTTTCTAGACCTTTTTTCTAAGCAAACAAACAATATGCATAATTAGAAAAATAGGTTTAATTCTGGAATCTCTACTGTTCCCTGTGCTATACTCTATTGTTATAATTTGTACATGACAAAATGAGAATAAGACAGACCTAGGTTTGGTCTGTGTGCCTGGGTCCCAGATCCCTTACTTGCTAGCTCTGCAACTATGAGCAAATTAATACTTCTGAGTTTTAATTTCTTATCTGTACAAGGGAAATAATAATAGTGCCTAGCTCACAGGATTGTCAGGTGGATTAAATTACAAAATTCACGTAAAGCACTCACTAACAAGTCCTGAGTGTATACCTTAATCAATTCTGTATTATTTCTTATTTTCATTCTTTTACTGCCTTATGATATATTGTAACAGATGATGTTATATCCTATTTTTCTTGTACAAAATTTTCTGGTATTTTCAGATATTTATTATTCCAAATAAACTTTAGAATTACAGTTAACTACTTGAATAACACTATGAAGCTAGAAGTCAACCTCAAGAAAAAAATCTGGAATAGACCACATATACATGGGGGTTAAATAGCAGGCTCTTAGGGTGGGAGGATGGGTTGGCCTGGTGGTGGGTATTGAGGAGGGCACGTTCTGCATGGAGCACTGGGTGTTGTGCACGAACAATGAATCATGGAACACTTCATCTAGAACTAATGATGTAATGTATGGGGATTAACATAAGAATAAAAAAAAAATAGCAGGCTCTTAAACAATGAATGGGTCAACCAGGAAATAAAAGAAGAAATAAAATATATGGAAACAAAAGAAAATGAAAACACAACAGTCTAAAACCTTGGGGATGCAGCAAAAGTGGTCCTAAGAGGGAAGTATATAGCAACAGAGGTCTACCTCAAAAAGCAAGGAAAATCTCAATCTAACCTTATACCTAAAGGAGCTAGAAAAAGAACAAATGAAGCCTAAAGTGAGCAGAAGGAATGAAATAACAGATTTGAGCAGAAATAAATGATAAGCTAAAAAAAAATTATACAAGAGATCAATGAAACCAGGAGCTGGTTATTTGAAAAAAATAATACAGCTGATAAACCTGTAGAGAGACTCAATTGAAAAGAAAAGAGGTGTGCCTGGGTGGCTCAGTTGGTTAAACTTCCAACTCTTGATTTTGGCTCAGGATTGTGAGATCAAGCCCCATATCTGGCTCCCCACTCAGTGGGGAGTCTGCTGGAGATTGTCTCCCTCTCCCTCTGTCCCTTCCCTTGCTCGCTTGCTCTCTCTAAAATAATAAATAAATCTTAAAAAAAGAGAAAGTACTCAAATAAATAAAATCACAAATGAGAGAGGAAAAATAACAAACACCACAGAAATACAATTATAAGAGAATATTATGAAAAACTATATGGCAACAAACTGTACAACCTGAAAGAAACAGATAAATTCCTAGAAACACATAAATTGCCAAAGCTGAAACAGGAAGAAACAGAAAATTTGAACAGACTGATAACCAGCACTAATTTAAAGGGATACATGTATCCCAATATTTATAGCAGCATTACTACAATAGCCAAATTAGGGAAACAGCCCAAGTGTCCATCAATTGATGAATGGATAAAGATGTGGTCTGTCGGTCTATCCATCCATCCATCCATCCATCTATACATAATGGAATATTACTCAGCCATAAAAAGGAATAAAATCTTGCTGTTTGCAGTGACATGGATGGAGATAGACAGTATTATGCTAAGCAAAATAAGTCAGTCAAAAACAAATACCATGATTTCACTCACATGTGGAATTTAAGAAACAAAACAAATGAACGAAGAGGAAAAGCGGGGGGTGGCAAACCAGGAAACAGACTTTTTTTTTTTTAAGATTTTATTTATTTATTTGAGAGATAGAGAATGAGAGAGAGAGAAAGCACACGAGAGAGGGAAGGGTCAAAGGGAGAAGCAGGCTCCTCGCCGAGCAGGGAGCCCGATGCGGGACTCGATCCAAGGACTCCAGGATCATGACCTGAGCCGAAGGCTGTCGCCCAACCAACTGAGCCACCCAGGTGCCCAAGAAACAGACTCTTAATTATAGATAACAAACTGATGGTTACCAGAAGGGAGGTGGGAGGGGAGATGGGTTAAACAGGTGACCGGGGGTGGGGAGGGGGTTAAGGAGTGCACCTGCTCTGATGAGCACCGGGTGATACATGGAAGTGCTGAATCACTATATTGTACACCTGAAACTAATATTACACTGTATGTTAACTAACTGGAATTTAAATGAAAACTTAAAAAAAAAAAATTCTGGTTCTACAAACTGACCAAAAGCAAATAATAAATTCAGACATATTTATTGAAAGAAAAAAAAAAGAATTACAGTTAAGTAATTGAAATAAAAGCTGTGTATCTGAAAGACATTTCTTTTTAAAAGATTATTTATTTATTTGAGAGAGCAAGAGAGCACATGAGCAGGAGGGGGAGAGGGAGAGAGAATCTCAAGCTGACCCCACAATGAGTGTGGAGCCCTATGCTGGGCTCCGTCTTAGGACCCTGACATCACAACCTGAGAGGAAACCAAGAGCTAGACGCTTAACTGTGCCACTCAGGCACCCACAGAAAATACATTTTTATATTTGTCAAAATAATTCCATAAAAATCTTCTTTATTATTTTTAAGAAGTCTTTAAAAATGTATTTTCTCAATTTTTTTTGTAGTTGTAATGTATTTGGATGTAGCAGTGTGAAAAAACTATAAATCGACTTACCAGTAACTCAGGACTGCCTTGAGACATAAAAGAACGAGACTGATTTTTGGGGACAATGGCCTTTATTAGTGGAATGCCATCACTAATTCCCTATAAAATAAAGACAGAGGCTTAGTGGCTGGTTCTGCTTATCTTTATTAGGTTTAAGTTACTGAAAACTTCTATTTCTTTAAATAAGAATGAACCCTGTGATACAGCATTTTATTCTACCAAAACATACCAGTTAATTAAAATGTAGAAAAGGAGAATCACTATGCTGTACACTTGAAACTAATGTAACAATGTGTGTCAAATATACTTTAATTTAAAAAAAAAAGGCTAAAAAATGTAGGAAAGGAACTATGTACCATGTTTGGGTGGCATACTTGAAACAGAAGACCCATCATTTTCTTGTATTCTACTACTCTGCTGTGAAACAGAAATGCAGATTTCAAGGAGCATCAACCATTTAAAACAGCCAGTGATTTAGAATCTTTCCTTTTCCCTTGCCATACTGACATGAATATAAAGTAGAAAATACAGACCATATAAGAGTATATTGCTCAATTAAGTCAAATATGACAACTGGCTATATTTTTTATACAATTTCCTTTTGGGTTTAACTTTTAAAACATAGATCTATTCCATTAAGTGAGGCAATCCCTGAATGCTGTAACAATAGGGCCAGAAAATACAGTTCTCAGAAAATATCTGCCATTATCTTATTACAACATGAAAGAGAATAGTGATTTGAAGTAAGTTTTTTGATGTAACAATAGTTCATATATTATACCTCACATTTATTAGATAAATAATAACCTAACATTACTGGGTATATACTATGTGCCAGGTGCTATTCTAAGAGTCTTATATAAATTAAATAATGAATTATAAACCATATAAAATTAGTCCCTATCTTTTCTCTTCACTCTGTGAATCAAGAGAACTTCCATTTGAACAAACATAAATGAACATGGCATTTGAAGAAATCCACTTATTAGGCCTTTGCTTTAACTGCTACCTCTGTTTTCTTCACCATTTTAACAATGAGGAAGAGATAACCTACAGAGAGGCCTTCTCTTTTCTTATGAATGAGTGGGGAAATACCTTCCCCTATGATAACAAAAAGGGATTAACAGATTATTAGTACCCCAGGATATCTATTATGTTCTTTGTCCTGCTCCAGATACTGGTCCTTGGAATAGCTACCCTGTGACATGGTAGGTACAAAGGGACAAATGTCACTGAATCTGCAGATGGAACTTGGAATGCATTATTCTATAAAAACAATGTCATAAATGATTAGACATGATGAAATCATTTTATCACTGTTGCATAATATAGTACAACATGTCCATCAGATTATGTGTTAAATAATGGGTTGCCCTATGTGCAGTAAAGAGTAAACACAGCAGGCTCGAAACAACTCTCAGAAAGGCCTTCCTGCAAGGTTGGCCCTTGGCTGGCATCTGGGAACTTGGTGGGCAGAGTTCCCTGCACTGATATAAAACTTGTCCTCAATGACAAAAGTGGTTCGCTATTCCTAGACTATTTGTGCAAACAACATGGTTTATGCTGAAGACCCTATTTTCTCCTGGGAGTCTAGAATTTTGGAATGTGCTAGGCAGAGGATGCCTATGTGACCAGCCCCCAATAAAAACCCTAGGTGTTGAGTCTCAATGAGCTTCCCTGGTTAGATAAACATGTGTTTTCACATTTCATTACTGGGAGAATTAAGCATGTCCTATGTGACTCTCCCGGGAAAGGATTCTTGGATGCTTGTACCTGGTTTCCCCTACACTACATCTCATGTGCCTTTGCCCTTTGCTGATGTTGTTTTGTATCCTTTCACTGTAATAAAACTTTAATTGTGAGTACAACTATATGTTGAATACTGTGAGTCCTTCTAGCAATCACCAAACCTGAGGATGGTCTTGGGGACCCAGAACACATCTAGGAATTAGTCATAATTCTTTTTTCTTTCTTTCTAAAAGCTCTATACCTAATGTGGGATTTGCACTCACCATCCCAAGATCAAGAGTCACATGTTTTACTGACTGAGCCAGCCAGGGGCCCCAAATTAGTCATCATTTCTAAGCACTGTTTCTATGTATGCTGAGTTCCAGGCAACTGACTTAGATACTTTGGGAAAACAACTGATTCTGAAGAGTTTGTATTGTTAAACACTAAATAACTATATCTCACTAAACATGAATCTAGGAAAGGAGCGGCAAGAATTAATTATGAAGTACTTTCAGAAACATGGGAAAACATTTACATTAAACTACTACAGAGGATACTACAATATTATTCATTTGAATAAAACTCAGTAGAAAGCTAACTATAATAGAAATGTCCTAAAATTTTTTTATACCAAATTATCAAAAAATTATATAAAGATTTCCCATGACACTGAACCTAAGAAACACATTATAATGATGCTCTAATGCAGGATTGGACAAATTTGGCCTATGGTACAAGTGCAGCCTACCACCTGTTTTATAGGCTGTGGGTAAGCAAAGAATGGTTTTTACATTTTTAAATGGTTCTATTTAAACTGGTTACATATGTACCTACACAACATTCTTGATTTTGCCTTTTGACTACAGAGTCCAAAATATTTACTATCTGGCCCTTTAAGAAAAGTTTACCAATGTCTGTTGTATTGCATGAGAGTTATTGCTTGTTCCACACTTTTCCAAGCTATTCTTAATAACTTTTTATCATCATTTTTTATTCTTGCCAAGAATATTATGTCTTAACTAAATTCATAGGTATAAATGCATTTCATATTCACATGCTGAACCATTCAAAGTAATTCAATATGTATATTTAAACATTTAAACAAAGTACTTTCAATATGTATATTTAAACATTTAAAAAAAGTTTTTTTTAAGATTTTATTTACTTATTTGACAAAGAGAGACACAGCCAGGGAGGGAACACAAGCAGGGGGAGTGGGAGAGGGAGAAGCAGGCTTCCCGCCAAGCAGGGAGCTCGATGTGGGGCTTGATCCCAGGATCCCGGGATCATGACCTGAGCCGAAGGCAGACGCCCAACGACTGAGCCACCCAGGCGCCCCTAAAGTACTCTTTCAATTATAGCATTAACTATCTTGTTTTAGTTGATTATTCCTTCTGATATTAGCAATTAACAATCTGACTTATTGGGCCATATTTTATAAATGAGCAGACACTATAATTAGGAGTTATTACACTCCCTCTGCATATCATTTCAGCTGTCATGAAAAGCAATTTAAATCAAATTATTTATTCTTCCTTGTCTGGAAAATGTGACGTAGCATAAAGCAAGCCAAGATAAACAGGTCTCAGTACCACTCAGCCGCAAACAAAAACTTCCAGTAAGATTGTTTTAAAAATCCAAGAACATATTATTGCAACATTCTTTACTATTTTGGATTAAATATTATGACCCCCTCTTTACAGAATAAAAGGAGCATTGACTGGTGTATAGAATTCACAGAGAAAATGCTTTGATATTACCAAGTTGGATATTACCTCTATAAAAAATGACTTGAGTTCAGAGAGGTGTTGAAATAGGTTTAGGGTTGAAGTGTCTGTTTTGGTCTGCTTCTGCACTGCTTCTTCTGCTGACAATCTAGGAGGATGTGGTTCCTTCAAAATAATTTTGAGAAACAACAATTCCATAACTATATTAAGACGTCTCTCACTGTATTCCTTTGTACATACTGGGCTCTAGCTATACCAGATTACATACCATGCACTGTTGACAAATTCTAGGCCATTGCTCAGACTGCTCCTTCAGCAGAGTCTTCACCCTGTTCATTTCTAGAGGAAACCCTACTTCTACTTTAAAGTTTTTCTTATTGATGTATTCTTGAATTTCTAAACTAGAATTAATTATTCTCTTTTATTATTTTTACCAACACATTGCTTTGTTTAGTATTTTATTTAGTAATTATTTCTATGTTGGATTATATAGTTGTTTATGGTATATCTTTTCCAACCAGGCAATGGGTATCTTTTTTCTTTTAAGATTTTTTTTTTTTAAGTAATCTCTACACCCAATGTGGGGCTTGAACTCACAACCTCGAGATCAAGAGGTGCACACTCCACCAATTGAGCTAGTCAGGTACCCTTAGGTAAAAGTTATCTTAAAATCAGAAAAAAAATCTTACTCACTTTTGGATTTTTGATACCTAGAATTGTATATAAGTATGACAGATGCTTAATAAATACTTGGTAAAATTAAATGAATCATTCAAAAGTCAAAATTTATATGGGTGAATCCTTATTTCCTGAAATAAGATCAAAATGTCAATACTACTAGAATCAAATTATAAATATTGCTCCATCTGTTTTCAAATAAATTAAAATATTCTTCCTTAACTTTAATGTTAGCAACATAGAACAGTGTTATCTTCATAAATAAGAAATGGTAAATCAAATTAACAAGCAAAAGGCATAATTAAAATGCAGAACAGAATTCCATCTAAAGAGGATTTTTCTATCTCCATCACAAAATATCAGATTATAGAAAAATAATATGACAGCTATAAGTACCTCAATATTTAGCTCTCAATCCACATGAGTATTTATTCACTTTATTTTAAATCAAAGGCTGACTGGGAGTTAAGATGGTGGAGGAGTAGTGGGACCCTAAGTTTGTCTCATCCCTCAAATACAACTAGATAGTTATCAAGTCATTCTGAACACCCAAGAAATCAATTGGAGTTCTGAGAAAAGAAATGCTGTAGGTCTACAAGTAGAAAAGCAACCATTGTTTGGAAGGTAGGAGGCACAGAGATTTGAATCTGGTGTGATATAGCTGAGGATACAGCAGTGGGGAGGGAGGCCTGCTTAAGGAGGCTACCACAAAGTATTATAAGCAGTGGAGTGCAAAATCAGAACTTTTAGAAGACTGCAACTACAGTGAAGGACATGCCTGGCTTAAAGGTGCTAGATGGTGAAGTGGGGCAGAATCCCAGGTGTCACAGCGTGATCTGAGGATCCCTGGGGTCACAAGAAGAATGGGTGGTAGCTAAGTAAGGCACAGTTCCCAGGTAGAGGAGTGTAGAAGCCACCCAAGAACAGCGAGTCTAAGTGCCAGCTTTCTGCTCTGTGTTGCCATAAACTGATCCCCTACGTGATCAAGCGACTGCTTTCCTGAGACAGGTCCCCCAAATGGCAGAAGTGTGGCAAGACCATCCCTGGGAAGAACAGCGCAGGTCCAAACCGTGGGAGTCCCTAAACTTTGGAGTTTTGAAACTCAGTCGCGTGCCTGGGATAAAAAAGCTTGGACACAGGCAGCGTGAACACAGAGTTCTGACAGAAACGGGGGAGACAAGAGTATGAGTGCTTTTCTGTGAGGGCTCACTGAAGAGTGGGGAGTGCAAATTTTCAGCTCCGGGGCTCGAAAGCAGAATGCTGCCATATCCATCATGCCCATCTGTGCTGAAGTCTTCAGGGAGCAAAAGAGCACCCCCTAGTGGAGCCTGGAGCCACTTACACCAAGCCCAGCCTCCCTGTGCACTGCAGGCACATTTCCACTAGGGCAACTGCACCTGAGAATCAGCACAACGGGGCCTTCCCCCAGAAGACCAGCACAAACAACTCCCTTGCACCAAGTCTACTGATCATAGATGGCTGAAAAACTTTGGCTCTAGGGGAAAACTAGCATTCTTTGTATTTTTATTCTTTAGTTATTATTTTATCTTTTTCCAATTCTTTTTTTAATCCTTTTTTAATTTTCACTTTTATAAACATTATATATATATGTTTTATTTTTTGTTTCTTTTCATTGTATTTATATATTTTTTTCTTATTTTGGGATCTAGTTTATTTTATTTTTAAGATTTTATTTATTTGAGAGAGAGAGTGAGAGAGAGAGATCATGAGCAGGGGCGAAGGGTAGAGGGAGAAGCAGACTCCCCACTGAGCAAGGAGCCCAATGTGGGACCTGGGATCATGACCTGAGCTGAAGGCAGAGGCTTAACCAACTGAGCCACCCATGTGCCCGGGATCTAGTTTCTTTTAACAAGTAGACTAAAACACATCCAGGATTTAGTTTCTTTCTGTTGTTGTTATTGTTGTTTTTTTCTTTTTCTTTTCTTTTCTGGACAAAATGACAAGACAGAGAAATTTACCCCAAAATAAAGAACAGGAGGTAGTACTCACAGCCAGGGATTTAATCAATACAGACATAAGTAAGATATCTGAACTAGAATTTAAAACAACAATTATAAAGATACTAGTTGGGCATGAATAAAGTAGAGAAGACATTAGAGAAGAATCCCTTACTGTAGAGATAAGAGAACTAAAATCTAGTCAGGTCAAAATTAAAAATGCTATAACTGAGATACAGACCCAAGTGGAGGCCATAAAAACAAGGATGAAGGAAGCAGAAGAGTGAATCAGTAATACAGAGGTAAAATTACATGAAGTAATGAAGCTGAAAAGAAGAGGGAAATACAACTATTAGAGCATGAAGGTAGACTTAGGGAACTCAGCGATTCCAAAAAGCAAAATAATATCTGTATTAGAGAAGTCCCAGAAGAAGAGCGGGAAAAAGGGGAGAGAAGGTTTATATGAACAAATCATGGCTGAGAACTTTCCTAACCCAGGGAAGGAAAAACACATTCAAGTCCAAGAGGCACAGAGAACTCCCCACAAAAGCAACAAAAATAGGTCAACACCATGAAACTTACAAATTACAAAGATAAAGAGAAAATCCTGAAAGCAGCTTGGGACAAGAGGTCCTTAACGAGTAGACATGTAAGGCTGGCAGGAGACCTGTCCACAGAGACCTGGTAGGTCAGAAAGGACTGGTATGATATATTCAACGAGCTAAATGGGAAAAATATGCAGCCAAGAATACTTTATCCAGTAAGGCTGTAATTCAGAATAGGAGGAGAGATAAAAACTTTCCAAGATAAACAAAAACTAAAGGAATTTGTGAACACTAAAGCAGCCCTGATTAAAGGGGGCCATTTAAGCAAGAGAGAGACCAAAAGTAACAAAAACCAGAAAGGAACAGAGACAATCTACAGGAACAGCGACTTTACAGGTAATACAATGGTACTAAATTCGTATCTTTCAATAATTACACTGAAAGTAAATGGACTAAAGCTCCAATCAAAAGACACAGGGTATCAAAATGGATAAAAAAACAAGACCCATTGATATGCTGCTTAAAAGAGACTAATTTCAGACCCAAAGACACCTCCAGATTGCAAGTGAGGGGGTGGAGAACCATTTATTATGCTAATGGACATCAAAAGAAAGCTGGAGTAGCCATCCTTATATCAGACAAACTAGATTTCAAATTAAAGACTGTAATAAGAGATGAAGAAGGACACTGTATCATAATTAAAGGGTCCATCCAACAGGAAGATCTAACATTTGTAAATACTTATGTCCCTAACTTGGGAGCAGCCAAATATATAAATCAATTAATAACTTAAAAAAAGTCATTGATAGTAATACAATAACAGTAGGGAACATCAACCCACTCACAGCAATGGACATATCACCTAAGCTGAAGATCAACAAGGAAATAAGGGCTTTGAATGACACACTGGACCAGATGGACTTCACAGATATATTCAGAGCATTTCATCCTAAAGCAGCAGAATACACATTTTTTAAGAGTGCACACGAACATTCTCCAGAATAGATCACATACTGGGTCACAAATCAGGACTCGACCAGTACAAAAAAGACTGAGATCATACCATGCATTTTTTTGGACCACAATGCTATTAAGCTTGAAGTCAACCACAAGAAAAAATTTGGAAGGACCACAAATACATGGAGGTTAAAGAACATCCTACTAAAAAATGAATCGGCCCATCAGGAAATTAAAGAAGAATTAAAAATAAATACATGGAAGCAAATGAAAATGAAAGCATGACAGTTCAAAACCTTTGGAATGCAGCAAAGGCGGTCCAGAATGAAGTATATAGCAATACAGGCCTTCCCCAAGAAGCAAGAAAAGGCTCAAATAAACAGCCTAACCTTACACCTACAGAGGCCAGACAAAGAACAGCTAATAAAGCCTAAACCCAGCAGGAGAAAATAATTAATGAAGATTAGAGCAGAAATCAATGAAATAGAAGCCAAAGAACAGTAGAACAGATCAGTGAAACTAGGAGCTGGTTGTCTGAAAGAATTAACAAGATCGATAAACCCCTGGCCAGACTTATCAAAAAGAAAAGAGAAAGGACCCAAATAAATAAAATCATGAATGAAAGAGGAAAGATCACAAACAATACCAAAGAAATACAAACAATTATAAGAGAATATTATGATCAATTATATGCCAACAAATTAGACAATCTGAGACATGGATAAATTCCTAGAAATATATGAACTACCAAAACTGAAACAGGAGGAAATAGAAAACCTGAACAAACCCATAATCAGCAAAGAATGTGAATCAGTAATTTGAATCTCCCAAGAAACAAAAGCCCAGGGCTGGATGGCTTGCCTGGAGGAATTCTACCAAACATTTGAAGAATTAATACCTATTCTTCTGAAACTTCCAAAAAATAAAAATGGAAGGAAAACTTCCAAACTCATTCTCTGAGGGCAGCGTTACCTTAATCCCAAAACCAGACAAAGACCCCACCAGAAAGAAGAATTATAGGCCAACATCCCTGATGAACATGGATGCAAAAATTCTCAACAAGATACTAGCTAATAGGATCTAACAGTACATTAAAAGGATAATTCACCATGATCAAGAGGAATTTATTCCTGGGCTGCACAGGTGGTTCAACATCTGCAAATCAATCAATATAATATACCACATTAATAAAAGAAAGGATAAGACCATATGATCCTCTCAATACATGCAGAAAAAAGATTTGACAAAATACATAATCTTTTCTTGATAAAAACCCTCCACAATGTAGGGACAGAGGGAACATACGTCAACATCATAAAGGCCATATATGAAAGATCCACAGTGAGTATCATTCTCAATGGGGAAAAACTGAGAGCTTTTCCTTTATGGTCAGGAACATGACAGGGATGTCCACTATTACCACTGCTGTTCAACACAGTACTAGAAGTCCTAGCCTCAGAAATCAGAAAATAAAAAGAAATAAAAGGCATCCAAATCAGTAGGGAAGAAGTCAAACTTTCACTATCTGCAGATGACATGATACTCTATGTAAAAACCTGAAAGACTCCACCAAAAAATTGCTAGAACTGATACAGGAATTCAGCAAAATCGCAGGATATAAAAATATATATATATATAAAAACCAATACACAGAAGTCTGTTGCATTTTCCTTCCATTTCTATTTTTTGGAAGTTTCAGAAGAATAGGTATTAATTCTTCAAATGTTTGGTAGAATTCCTCCAGGCAAGCCATCCAGCCCTGGGGGATGGAGTAATTGGGTGATGGGCATTAAGGAGGTCACTTGATGTAACGAGCACTGAGTGTTATATGCAAGTGATGAATCACTAAATTCTACCCCTGAAACTAATAATACACCATATGTTAACTAAATTGAATTTAAATAAAAAATTAAAAAAAAAATCAAAGGCTGACCTTTCCATCATTTTTTATGGTGATAAAAACTAATTAGCACTACTCATATGAAAAAAAGTAAAGCTGGTGCAAAAATATTATAGAATCTATTTTGAAGCTCAATGAAGTGTTCTGTTTTCTTCTGTTACTTTTGCATTCTATCAGCAGATAGGTATAAAGCATTGATTTTAAACATGACCGTTCTGTAAAAAACCACGTTGGAGGCTTCAAACAAACTCTACTAAGGAACTTTGTAGTAATTACAAAGCTTAGTCTGATAGCTTTGTAGTAATTACAAAGCTTAGTCTGATAACTGAATTAACAGAAGTTCAACATATTTATAAGCCAGAATTTAGATACATTCTTGCTGTAACAGTTGTGGAGATTCAATTTATAAATATTTACTACACAAATACTATATGCAAGAAAGATATAAAATGATTAGGAAAAGGTGGCTGCCTATAGCATAATAAAGTGAGGCAAATGCACAAATATACAACTAAGGCAGAAAATGTCATTATTAGGATATAAATAACAGCCCACAGAACATGGAAAGTGATCTAATTCAATAAAAGAGTTTACAGCTATTAATTCAGAGGAGACACAGCATGGTAGAAAGACTTTTGAGTTGGATGGTCATGCATCCAAATCCTGTTCCAGTCACATTTTAGTTGTTTAAACAAAAAGTGATTGGCTTTCTGAGTAAATATAACTCCTCTGTGACTCAAGAGTTATTGACTATATACGTTTGACCACAATATTTTGTTATTTCAAAATAGGAACAATCATTTAAATCTATTTACTTTTTAAGTGACAGTATAATTTTCTTAAATTCTAGATAATTCTGAGAGATACAGTTTTAAATAATTAAAATACTTGAAAATGCCAGTAGTACTCTAGCAATTAAATTCTAGACTTATGTAATCAATAACTTTTTTTTTTAATAATCAATACCTTTAATGACTTACCTTTAACAGTTGACAAGGTGTCTGCCCAAAATTATTAATCATCCCTTCTAAGGCTTTTCTTTCCTTCTCATCTGTTAAGGCATCCAGATCCACAGCTCCTAAAACAAAGAGAAGTAGTCAACTCACTACAGAGTGAAAACTAAGCAAGCCACATAACTGATTAATATAGTGGAGACTGAATAGTGTATTTTCAACAAAATAGCATTGTTTTTCGGTTTATAAGAATATTGTGAGACAGGCAATTTTGTATACGATTCTGTTTATTTATTTATTATTTTTAAAGATTTTATTTATTTGACAGAGAGAGACACAGCGAGAAAGGGAACAGAAGCAGGGGGAGTGGGAGAGGGAGAAGCA